TATAGAAATTAGAAATATATATTAACAAATATATAAAATTTCTAGTGAGTTTTGTAGACAATTGATATACGGGCAAGCTACGTGTGAATTAGTACACATACTCGAAAAATGTTAAGTACGCTGAATTGGACCAAATAACATGTTTTATTTCTATAATTTAACGTATCAAATGCTCTCTTCGACATATTTTATATACAATACTAGACAATATTGTATTATACGATATAATACATATTTAAATTTTTTCTTAGTCTTACAGATGTCCATAGTCGTCATATCCACCTTAGCAAACATTACACTTATGGGGCATTTCCTCAATGGTACAATAAACAAGTTGGGATTTCTTTTTCTTTATTGATATTGTCTAATTCGTCTTATCAAACATGTCATCATCTCTCTGATGTACATGCATGAGTTGCGATGAGTATACTTCTTATTTAATATTTTTCGGTCGACCTTACCAAACATATTATCAATGTACATGCATGAGTTGCGATGAAGGCCGGACGCAAAACAGAAGTTAGTTTTAGTTAAATTCTGACAGTGGAGGCCTTAAATATACTTTTATGAAGGTAACAATCAAGCTCTATATCCCAGCCTGTCATTGTTATTTCATCCACTATTATGAGTTACGACTTCGAAATCCATGGGAGTCTTTATGCCTAAACAGGACCACATGTTTAAGAATTATGAAATGTATTGAGACTGGCAAAAAAAAAGAATTGCCAAACTGTACACAATTGTTTAGATAATTTCACGAGGAAGTTCATAAACAGAAGTCAATACCCGAACCATACATTGTTCTTGCTGTGTTTAGAAAACTACCAAACAGATGCAAGAAAAACAGGAAAAAAAACTCGGGGAAAAAAAAAAAAAACAGAACTTACAGCAGAAAAGATCCATATGGTGCGTTCTTGACTCCCTCGGTTAAGTAAAAGTGAAAATAAGCAGAAATCTAGACAAAATAATAAAAGCTGCAGTGAATTGTAATGAGGATTGGCAGCAGGAGGCAGCAGCAATAAGTTAGTTTCAGCCATTGATGATAGTAGCATTCAAAGTTCCCAACTAACTAAGATAGTCCCCCCTCCCCCACCCACCCACCACACCCCCCAACCTTCATTGAATAGCATCAACCAGAATAGGTAATAGGATTCTGAAGTATCTCTTTCTGATCATCACTCGAATTTAAAGGCGACAAGCACATGTGAAGGATGCACCGGACGATGAATTTAAGGTATCATCCGGAAGTAGTGCAATTCAAGGCAGCTTTAATTTGGTGGACAGTGTTGCTGATAAGGTTGTTAATAGTCGTGACTGATTCAGGGCTCAGTTTAGCAGATGGCAAGCTGCTTACAAGTATTTGAAACACGACTGTAATAAGTGAACCTGCTGATGATAGCCTACCACCAACACTGCCAGTATTTGAACTCGTTGAGGCTCCACCACCAACACCACCTATTTCTTGATCAGGCCTGCCATCGGGTGAAATGGTTAGTCCCGATGGTAGCAAAGGTATACATGAGGGATCCTCGCCGCTCATGGCTACGTTGATGTGGTGTAAGTCAACAGGGCAGTACACAACAAGTGATCCTGATGAGTCTACGCAACTTTCTTGGAGTATCAACATGTTGCTCTGGCTAGTGTTTAATGCCTGATTCAAGAATCTTCAAAGTAATAAATATTTGCACAACAATTAATTAACTGCTTATAATTTGGAGTCCTACCAAAAGACATGTTTGGTAATGTGTACTGGACAATATTGTACGGTTTAATACAATCCAATACCGCTTAGAAAACATGTCTGTAATATGCTGATTAAAATTAACGAGCTTTAGGGCAAAATGACGATGAGGGAAACAGATTTACCCGAAGAACAGATATGCAGTTCCCTGGATGAGAGCCATTCGCAATGTGAGCCACCTCTTGAACTGGATTTTGATTGGAAAGAACGTCCCACTGGATTAAGAATGAAAGGAGTTAATACGGATAATTAATAAGGTAAAACACAAACCTTTTGGAGTTCCGAATTGAACAGAGAGAGAGAAGGAAAAACAAAAAAGGCAATGCAAATAGGTTCCTACTGTCTTTACCTGAGGTCGAGTACTCTCATCCCGGAAGAAACTGAACACATTTTCTGGAGGAATGGGAAGCCAAATTGTAGAAGCGGCACTGAGTACCATAGCGTTAGGCTGGACCGGATCGGTGCTCTTATGAAGCGTTGCTCGGACTTCAAACTCATTTGACCCTGAAAGCGTGCTCCATTGTTGGCCATTAGAAGGGTTTAGGCTTGCACAGAAGTTGTTAACCATCCTCTGTGCCAGTTTCATCATGCTTCTCTTCCCTTCAGGTGAAGGAATTACTGTAAACGTAGCTATTAAAATCAGATACGCGAAAATTTAATTCATCCGTTCATAATCTAGCATACAAGAATTCTTAGAGAAGTTAGTTACCTCCAACTTGTTCACAAGTCGAGTTGCTGGTACCCATCAGACAAGCGTATCTCTCGCACATCCTTTGCAGACTCGAAAGCCATTTTCCGGCTCCAAATGCCAGTCCACCATGAATAATATCAACACAAAGCCTATGGATTGGAGCTATATCTTCTATTTCCCAGTGTTCCACCCAAGTTACCTGTTATAATTAGTACATCAAAAGTCATTTACTTACATGGTCTAAAATATTGATTACTAGAATAATGATATGATTAGATTCAATGTCACCACCTTAGAATAACCGTTAGGCATATCTTGTATTAAGCATCCAGAAAGAAGCCTATGAGTTTTACATGAAGCAAATTGATTCTCTTGATGAGGAAGATCATAAGAAATATCGACAATTGCCCATATGCCCTGCTCGATTTGCTGACAGAAACGTAGAAAATAGAATTGCCTGGTCGGAACCAGTGGCGAAAGAACCTGCAATTCTTCGTACATCTGATGAAAAAGTAATTTTTTTCAGAAACTCATTAAGCTCCAAGGCATTAATATAGATTGGATTAAAAGTGGATCTATATTTTTACTCAGAACTTATTACCAATTGCAATGCACCACTTGGGCTTCCCAGCATTCCAGAAGATAGTACTTCAACTGTTCTTGCCTTTGAAACAATTGTAGGAAATAATTCCATCCACTTATTCTGATAATTTAAGCAAAACAACCAGTGATGGAAATATAAAAACTGAAATATTTTATTAGTAAATATAAAGAAAGAAACTAACCACATCCATAAACATGTCTACCAATGCCAAACCATTCATTATCACGACACCTGAATCTCTGGTGGCCTCAATCCGAATGTTGGGATTTTTCAACTGATTATTATGTCTAGGGAAAATCCTTTCATAGTTTTCGAGATTAAGTATTTCCCTGCCATCGTTTTTTGACTTCATCCAAAGAGGTTCATTGGCTTGCAAGAGCCTAATCAATTCATCCATGGCATTTCCAGCAACATCAGCCATAAGGGATTTATCCATATCAGAAATGCTCATTGTTGTGAAAGGTAAATTGGAAATGTTAGTCGAACTTCCAGGAAGAAGATGAAGGTCAAGGGACGGTCCAGGCAACATCCCATGGCCCGAAAAACTTGCCATGGATAAATCCAATGAAGATACATGAATAGGCTGCACTGGTGGCAGTTGTGAAATAGGCCTCCCTATGTACTTGGCTGCAATGCTTGAAATTCTGTCCAGCTGCAAATCATTTTAAACAAAATCAATGAAAACGCCGTAGATATTTGGAATGCAGTATTGAACATGACTGGACGGTCTAATTAAAAAATAAAATAAAATTAACAGACCTCTTCTTTTAACTGAGCATTTTCGATTCGTAATTTTTCCTCGTCGAAATATGAATCTTCTGTAACTGGAGGCCCTCCACAAGTAGGGCAGATCACATTTCTGAGTGCCTCTCTGATAGCTATATTTTCACATCTAATTTTATCATTCTCTGCTCTGAGTGCACAATTATCTGCTCTTTCAAATTGTGCCTAAACCAAGATTAATCATAAAATTACAAGCAAGATTTAACTAGAAAAACTCAAATTATTTAATAAGAAAAAGAAGAAACCTTCATTTGAGTCCTTCTGTTTTGAAACCAAAATTTAATCTGCCTTGGATGCAAATTTAACTCTCTGCTTAACTGCAATCTTATCTTCTCATCTGGGTGGGGACAGTCTTTGAACATTCTTCATTTCAAAAACACAATATCTCAGTATCTGCAAAAGATTCTAAATAAAACGAGTGTGCATGTGATGTGCAAAGAATGTAAAAAGTCTTACGCTTCAAGCCTCTGAATTTGGTGGGCAGTGTGTCGATGATATCGTTTTTTTCTCCGGTGAGGGTCAGAGGCGTCGTGATGGTCATCGCCGGAGCCACCGCCTCCGCATCCACCGCTAAATTCCATTGTTTTCTATAATTACTAGGCCGTCTTAGCAGAATAAAAACCAGTAATGCTTGTATTCAAAACACTTGTAGTAATCAAGAAGCTCTTGCAAGTTATCATCTATTCTCATAATATACTGCAATAAATTACAACTGTCTATGGTTACTCTATACTAATCATGATTGGGTAAAAAAAGAAAGAAGTACAACGAAAAGAAAAAAAGAAAGAGAAAAAGTTGATGGCTGGATAAAATAATTACGAAGAACAATATCTGGGATTTGATATGGAAAATGATATGAAATTTAGGGAATGGAATTTGAACATGTGAAGGACGTTTAGCATTGTTTAAGGAACTAGCCATATTTTCATTTTGGACAGTAACGCCTGAAAGATCCTACATACATATACATATATATATACAGTATATTAGCAGAGAGAGAGAGAGGGGTGAGGTGTGGTGGATGGGGGTGGAGAAAAGCAATGGAAATGAAGAGAAATATAGGTGGAAGGTGAGTGTAATTAAGAGAAAATTGGTAGAAATAAGAGAGATGGACAAGCCATAATAAATAGGTACACCTATACATACACGCAAATTACTACTGTCACTACGTGTTTTGTGTGTGTTGTATGTGTGTGCTGTAACTGATAAATTTATGGCGAGAGAGAGGGTTTTAAATTCTTTGCAATATGACTTTACTCACCATTTGAAGAAAATAATTTTTGAGGGGCATTTTTGGGTTTTTGTATTATTAAATTTTTAATTGAAAATTATTCTTTACAGGCTATTATTACTCAAAGGCCACTTATTTCTTTAACTCATTTTTTGACAACATATTTTATAGATCCATTATTTGTATCAATTTTTAAATAACATATTTCACTAAATTTTATCAAAATATAATTTTTATTTAAATCAAACATGTCATAATATACGGAGGACAATGCCTCAACATGTCCTCTTATACGAAGGAAAGCAAACAACTCAACACGTACCTTGACAAAATAAATAATGTTATCTAATATTAACGTTGCTAGGGCACCAATATATGTGCACACTTAACATATTCAATTATATTAATCACGTGACATTACATTTAAATGAATCTATCATTTAATTTCAAGCAGTTGTCATCTAAATTGATGTTTAATACCAATAGTGCTAAATAACGTTATTCTAACAAAATATGACTTTTTGTCCATACAAAATAGGAAAAAGCCTCAAGTATAGAAATTTTTTGACAAATGTTTTAGCTACGGCGATGTGGCGAAATGTGATTCGCCTGTTTATTTTTATTTTTTTTCCATCTTCTAATTAATGCATGTCAAGTGTTGTCTTTAAATATTTTCTATCAAATTTGTCTGTACTTATAGTATGATTGTACAAAATATTGTATGGCAAAATCAAATCCATAGTTGTATATATTAAGAGTTTGTTTTGGAGGAATTTTTGGAGGGAGAATTGATTTTTGAATAGTGATATGACAGGAAATGTGTGGTTAAAAAAGAAGAAAAAATTATTGATGTGATGAAAAATATTATTTTATTTAAAAATATGAGGTAGAAAATGAGAATTGATTTACTGTAAAATTTGAAAATCTCTCCCAAACACCCCCTTAAATAGTCATATCATAGGACCCGTAGTTCTCAACTCTAAAACTCATGGGCCACTTCTTTTGACTTAGCCCCGGGCCTCATTTAACACACATTCTATCAAAATATATTATTTTATAATTTATTTTTAACCACACTTTTTTTAATAAAATAATATTTTATATCACATTAATAATTTTTTTTTTTACTTTTTAATCACATATTTTTTATCATATTACCATTTAAAATACATTTTTTTCTCGATAATATCCATCAAATAATCTCTTGAATATAAATAAAAGAGAAATGCTATTCATCTCCACTGGGAATGC